GTCTCTTGTCAGCTCTCTGAGGATTGCAGCTGGGTGGGGCTCACCTCAGGCATGGGAGCACCCAATTGTTTCAGGCTTTGGAAGGTGGGGCAAACCCCCTATGTGGGTCTTTGAGAAGCACAAGTCTTCTGCAGCTGACAAGCCCTGCCACCCACAGGTCCACACACACAGTCAACACAGTCCTGCTCCGTGTGTGCGCCCCGACCTCCTGAAGTGGACCCAGTCTCTCCACGGCGGGAGCCCCGCACACTCCACCACCGCCCCACACTCTGCACCCACTCCTTGTGCATACCCTGCCCCTCTGAAGTGGGCTCAGTTGCCAGGCTGCAGAGAATCCAGTCACCAATCTATGTAGGCCCACAAGTTGCCTGAGGGCTTGTTGTTGGGTGGGGCCAGTCTCTAGGGTGGGCTGCCTGCTCTGGCTGAGCTGGATTAAATTGGTGCTTTAGTGGGTGGGGCAGACCTGGGCTAGCAGGCCTCAGGGAAAACTCCAATGGCATCTGTGTCAGCACGCCCACACCAGGCCACAACAATGGCCGCCGCCAATGTCCCAGTCCCTGGAGCGGTCTCACCTCTCACCGAGATGCACTCAGGGCCTATTAGGTGAGTCTCTTTTCACCAAAGCACTATGCACCTCTCTTTCTGGTGATTTTAGGTTGCTTTCTGAAACGGGTGAGTTTGCGTGTGGGTCCTTTAAGAGCCGGTTTTACTTTCTTTGTGAACCAGCTTTTCTGTGGGTACTCCCCAATGTTTTAGTAGCAGGCAAAGTCAGATATTATGTCACTCGTCTCGATTGTGCTGGGTCCACAAAATGCCCACAGCAGGGGCGCTCCTGGCTCAGGGCTCTGCTCCTTCAGGGAGGGCTGTGTACCTTTGGGCTGCTCCCTGGCAGCCGTGAGGCGCTGTGGCTTGTGAAGGCAGTGTTTTTCCTCTCCAGAAGGGAGTTTCTGCCTCTTCTACCTCAATTAGGATTGTCCTTTGTTGCAGGGGTTCCTCTTATCCAGTTTTCAGTTCTGTCTCAGGGGTAATTTTTCCACAAGTAGGTGTAAATTGGCTGTATCTGCGGGAGAAGGTGAGTTCAGAGTCTGCTTACGCCGCCATCTTGACTTCTCTCCTCTCTTCATTCCTTTTTATAGCTGAATAATATTTCATTGTATTCCATTTGTTTCTCTCTTCCTCTATTGGTGGATGTTTGAGCGTTTCCACATTTTGGCTGCTCTGAATAGTGCTGCTGTGAACATGTGCATACAAGTTTCTGTGTGGACACATGTTTTCATTTCTCTTAGGCGTATACCTAGCAGTGAAATTGCTGGGCTAGATAATAACTCTCTGTTTGACTTTCTGAGGAACTGGCAGACTGTTTCTCAAAGCAGCTGCATACATTTACCCTTTACAGTATACAAGGGTCCCATTTTCTCTACATCCTCGCAAACACTTGTTATTGTCTGTCTTTTTTATTATAGCCACCCTAATGGGTGACTGATGGCTTTTTGACTGAAAAGGAAGGGTCCCCAAATTTCCCAATCAAAATTACCTTTGAAAAACAGCAATCTGTCTTTGTGAAACCTAGAAGAAAAAAATTTTTTTTTTTTTTTTTTTTTTAAAGATTTTTTATTTATTTTATTTTTTCCCCCCAAAGCCACAGTAGTTAGTTGTATGTCATAGCTGCACATTCTTCTAGTTGCTGTATGTGGGATGCGGCCTCAGCATGGCCGGAGAAGCGATGCGTCAGTGCGAGCCCGGGATCCGAACCCGGGCTGCCAGCAGCAGAGCGCAAGCACTTAACCACCAAGCCACGGGGCCGGCCCCCGAAAAAAAGGTTTTTTCGTACTTCTGTCAATTTAGAAAGGAAGGTCACTGCCCGCCCTTTGTTACCATTTTCTTTTTTTTTTTTTTTTTTTTTATTTGACAGAGGCCTCCAAGTTGTCATGAAGGAGAAATAAGTAAAAGTTTTCCATCTAGTGAGATCCAGTGGCTACAAGAGCAGAACTCAAGCTTGCGAAATGCTGTTGCACAAATGAGGAAAGAAATGGAAACTCTGAGTGATCAAATTCTTCCTTCTGCCCAGTCAGGAGGAGAGACTTCAGATACAAACCAACCTGATCCAAAGACAACAGCAGATGCCGCCACTCCTGGTGAGCAAGGGAGAGAGACAGAGAAGGAGGACGAGGGAAGATCTCTACTGGGTCCAAGATAGGTTTCCCCTGGAGTCTTATAAATGAACATCCTCTTTAGTAAATCACTTCAAAGCATGACAGCTGCTTTTCTTCCAAGAGAAGGGATTTTAAGTCAATTTTTATGTATATGATAAGTTATTGGTAAAGTGGAAGAAAAAAAGTGAAGGATACATACCGGCCACACTTACTAACCAGAGCCCAACTTGGACAAGGGCTGGGCTAGTGCTGCACTCTACTAGCTTATGGGCAGCGTGGAGCTGGTGGACGCCAGGCCCTTCCTCAGGGGAGTGTCCCGGACTGTGGCGGAGGTGGGCACCCCACTTCGTGCCCTGTCAGAGTGGGGTCCATGTAGTTGTGAGTGGAGGGACAGCAGCCTGCAAAGATGGCTCCGCACTCGAGACACTATGTTGGATCTGTGTGTAAAGGCTCGCAGGATTGAGGGAGCGTTAATGTGTGCTTCTGGTTATGAGCCCTCCTTGGAGAGCACAGTGAGCTAATCTCTGGATGCTGCACTCTGGTGACCGAGGGCCCGATGGCACATAGATAGCATGGGGACAGCTGTGAGGGTCGGGCAGGGAGGAGGGGCAGGTCAGTGGAGCAAGCAGGCACAAGCTTGCACAAGCCCCTGCCTTGGTGATAAAGGACGAGGGTGTAAATTTGTCTGCCTGTATGTGCGGTGGGTATTTACTGGGTTTTTTTTGGCAGATTATGTGCTGGCCCTTGAAGCAGAAATACGAAGTCTAAAGCATAAATTTAAAACCCTGGAAGAACAACTAGAAGATATGTTAGATCCTTCAAAGATGTCCTTATCTTATACTGATGTTCAACCCAGCGTCCATACCTCGACAGAAAGCACTGGTAAGGGTCTGTGTCTCATTGTGTCGCGTGCTCTGTCCAGTAACGCTATCTTTTTAAAATTGAGTACAGCTCAAGGAATTATTGCAAACATCGGGTACCCGTTACCAGTACCTGGGAACCCCGTTGTCCTCCCTCCAGAGTCAGCCACTATCCTGACTCCTCACCCTGTAGTTGAGTTTTCTGTTTTCATATAAATGGAATTATATGGTGTGTGTTCTTTTTGTCTGGCTTTTTTTTTGACTACAGTGTGTTTTAGTTGGTAGCCAGCCCAGACCGTTCTCCAAAGCGTTCACACCCATGTACTCCACCATCAGCAGTCATGAGACAGCTGTCACTCTGGCTCCCCACTGACACTTAGCACACCCACTCATTCTAACCAAAGCCATCCTGGTGGTTCTGTAGTACATCCTATTATGGTTTTAATTTGCATTTTCCTATTTATTAGTGATGCTGAACATCTTTTTCTGTGTTCATTGGTGTGTTAGTCTGCTTGGGCTGCCATAACAAATACCACTGGCTGGGGAGCTCAAACAACAGGCATTTATTTCTTCACTGGTGTCTTTTGGTGAACGGAAGGTCTTAATTTTATTTATTTGTTTGTTTATTCATTTATTTATTTGTTTATTTTTGGTGAGGAAGATTGGCCCTGAGCTAACATCTGTTGCCAATCTTCCTCTTTTTGCTTGAGGAAGATTGTCTCTGAGCTAACATTTGTATGTGGGTCGCTGCTACAGCATGGCTTGATGAGCGGTGTGTAGATCTGTGTCTGGGATCCAAACCCGTGAACCCAGGGCCAATGAAGCAGAATGTGTAAACTTAACTGCTACACCACCGGGTTGCCCCCAGAAGGTCTTAATTTTAAGACAGACTTACTGGTCACTCTGTTCCTTTTTGGTTAGTCCAGCGTCACAGAGTTCATTCTAGTTTTCTCCTTTTTCATTGTTTGAACTTCCTTTTCTGACAATGAGAAACCTGGCTCCTGATATCCTTAATACAGTTCCTTCTTCCATCCAGTTCCCTGGACGTAAGCAGCCTCCCACTGCCGCCACCTCTCCTCACCACCTCCCCTCCTGCCACAGAGGCCTTTCTGCTGCATGGGTGCCCCTCTGTGGGGTGCCTCCCTGGCCCCACCCATCTCCCTGCCTGGGCACTGGCCCCCAGGTGGTGAGCCCAGCTTGGGTCAGTGGATACAGGCCTGCCCACAGCTTAGAGGATTGATTGTTCAGGAAGCAGAGGGGCCGGGCAGGGTGTTCCACCTGCAGGATGAGCTTGTCTCAAATAATGCAAGTTTTATTTATTTCTTTTCCAATGCTGATGTCTTCTGGTTCTTTTTCTTATGTTATTTCTCATGTCTGGTATCTTGAGGACGATGTGGATATCAACATTTCACAATTAAGTTGAATATTTGCTGAAGGTTAGTTGTTGTTGGGTTTTTTTGGTCAGATTATAGAATTTTTTTCCTATTTCTATTGTAATAGAAATCTTTATTTTTTATCATGATTCTGTCAGTTTTTGTCAGTTTTTGCTTAATGTATTTTGAAGTGTTGTTAGATTTATATACGTTTAGAATTGTTACATTTTTTGGTGAATCGATCCTTATATCATTACAGATGTTCCTCTTTATCCTGCAGTTTTCCTTGCTCTGAGGTCTGCTCGGTCTGATATCAGCCTTCTTGTGATGACTCTTTTCATGGTCTTTCTTCGTAGTCCTTGCACTTTTAACCAACCTCTGTCATTACATTTGCAGTGAATTTTTTGTAGGCAGCATATAGTTGTCAGTTTTTGAAATCCATTTTGCTGCTATTTTACTTGATATACCATTTACACTTGATATGGTTAGTGCTATGTCAGCATCCAGGTCTGCCAGCCACTGAATGTCTGTGCCCTGTGCCTCAGTTTCCTCTTTCCCCGCTTCCTGGGTGTTACTTGAACATTTTTTAGTGTTCCATCTTAATTTATCTATAGTGTTTGTGAGTGTATTTCTTTGGGTCATCTTTCTAACAGTTGCTTCAGGGATTACAATATACTTGTTAGCACAGTCAACTCATGTCAACATTCTGCACTTTCAAGTGGAACATGGGAGTGTTACAGCTGTCCAGCCCTTCACCCCCTTTATTATTGCAACTGTCACCTCTCCACACATCAAGGACCACCTCACAGGATTTTACTTTTGCTTTCAACTGTCAAACATAGTGTTAAAGACTCAGGAGGAGAGGTAGAGTCTGTGGTATTTCCTGGGGTCCAGGTATCCTTCTTTTTCCAGTCCTTCTCTGTCTGAAGTACTTCCTGCAGCAGTTCTCTCAGAGCAGGTCTACTGGTGAGAGGTGCTCTTAGTTTTCACTTTTCTGAGATGTCTTTATTTCACCTTCATTCCTGAACAACAAAATTATGAGTTGACAGTTCTTTGCTTTCAGCACTTAAAATATATTATACCACTTCCTTCTGGTGAGAAATCAGGTGATAGTTTCTGATGAGAAATCCATTGCCATTTGAATCATTGTTCCCCTGTAGGTCATTGCATCATTTTTCTCTGCCTGCTTTCAAAAGTTTGTCTTTACTTTCAGAAATTTGATTATGATGTGTCTGGGCATAGATTTCTTCAGCTTATCCCATTTGATGTTGAATCTGAAGGTTTATGTCTTTTGCCAAATTTGAGAAGTTTTTAGCCATTATTTCTTCAAGTGTTTTTTCAGCTCCACACTCTTTTTCCTTTTGAGACTGTGATGATAAAAACGTTAGCTCTTCTATTGTTCTCCCCCCAGGTCCCTGAGGCTCTGTTACTTGTTTTTTTTTTTAATCTGTTTTCTGTTGTTCGGATTGGATAATTTCTATTATCTGTCTTCAAGTTCACCAGTTTTTTCTTCTGTCATCTCCTTTCTGCCGTTGAGCCCATCCAGTGAGATTTTTATTTCGATTTCAGTTCTAAAATTTCCCTTTTGTTTTTCTTTATATCTTTTATTTTTTTGCTGAAACTTTTTTTCCATTTGTTTTAAGAGTGTATCAAATTTCTTATTGGAGTTGCTTTAAAATCCTTGTCACATCATTCCAGCATCTGTGTCATCTTGGTGTCGTCTGTCTTCAGTTGAGATTTCTTGAGTTGAGATTTCCCTGGTTGTTAGTGTGATGAATAATTTTGGATTCCATCATGGGCATTTTGAGTATCATGTTATGAAATTCTGAGCCTTATGAACTCTATTTTAATTCTACTTCTATTTAATCAGGCAGTCCACCTTTCTAGGGTCACAGTGCATATCTTGGCTCACTCTCTTGGGTTGGGTTTGAATGCCCACTTACTTTCCAGAGCCTTTGCGATGCTCTTCTGGTCTGTCCAATTGTGTGCCACCTGTGGCCAATTTAAGTCCTGAGCAGTCTTCCACCAGCTCTCTGGAGCCCAGCTCTCAAAGCTTCGGCTGTATCGGTGCTGCCTGATTTCCACATGGGCTCCTCAGGGACCCGATATGCAGACTGAAGGAATTCCTTTCCCCAGCTCCCCCATCTCCATAATCCTCCCCACATGATCTTACTGGGAGAGGTGCTGTTGTTTGACTAGTGCACAGTGCAGGGCAGGGTCGTGCAGGGCAGGGTCGTGCAGGGCAGGGTCATGCAGGGCAGTGGAGAAGCGGGTAGTGGAGGGTGGGGTGCAGCTTCTCTCATGGTGTTTGTCTCCACAGGGCACGTGTGGTCAGAAGGGCTCTACCTGCAGAGTCTCCCTTTTCCTGGGCCTTTCTTCTTGGTCCTGGCTCATTGGTGGTTCTGGGTCGTGGCTACTGCAGCACTGAAGCTGGGAAATACGGGGAGAAAAAAAGACAAGGAACTCACTGCGGATCATCCCTTGAATCCCGAGGTCCCTAGCCTCTCTGCCTGCTTTTCCTCACTGTTCAGAATTTTCTCGTGGTCGCTTTGTGTCTGTTGCCCAGGGCTTTTAGTTGTAAGTAGGGAGAGGAGTGGGGTGGAAAGCTCATACTCCATGTTGTCCGGAATGAGAAGCTTAAATTGGTTTTCGAATGTTCAACCCACCTTGCGTTTCTGGAATAAACTCAACATGTGGTATATTCTCTGGCTAATATTTTATTGAGAACTATTGCATTTGTGTTTGTAAGATTGGCCTGTACGGGCCGGCCCCGTGGCTTGGCGGTTGAGTGCGCGCGCTCCGCTGCTGGTGGCCCGGGTTCGGACCCCGGGCGCGCACCGAGGCACCGCTTCTCTGGCCATGCTAAGGCCGAGTCCCACATACAGCAACTAGAAGGATGTGCAGCTATGACATACAACTATCTACTATGGCTTTGGGGGAAAAAAATAAATAAATAAAATCTTTAAAAAAAAAAAAAAAGATTGGCCTGTAGTTTCCTTTCTTATGACGTTCATATTGGGTTTTGGAATCAAGGGTATTCTGGTCCCATAAATGTGTTGGAAGATATTCCCTATTTCTCTGTTTTCTGAAAAAGTTTGTATTAGACTCATGTTAATTTTTCCTTATCCAATTGATAGAATTCAAGTTTGAAACCACCTGGGCTTCGAATTTTTCCTGTGGGGAGGTTTTAAATTGTGAATTCATTTTTTTTCACAGTTATAGGACTATCTAGATTTTCTTTTTTGTGTGTCATTTTTTGATGTTATGTTTTACTAGAAAATTGTCCATCTAAATTGTCAAAATTTTGACATGAAGTTGCTTACAGCATCCTCCTATGAGTCTTAAAAGCCTGTGTGATCTGAAGTGAGAACCTTTTTTCCATTCACTGTATGGTTTCTGTTCCCTTTTTTTTTCCTGCGTAGTCTTACCAGGGATTAATCTTTTCTGAAAGCCTTTTCAAAGGACCAGCTGTTGGTTTTGTTGGTCTTCTGTCATACACGTATTCTCTGTTACCTCAGTATCTGATATTAGCTTTATTCTCCCCTTCCTTCTACTTTGTTTGGTTGTTCTTTCCCTCATTTTTGGAAACAGAGGTTCAGCTCATTGATTTTTCAGCCTGCCTTCTTTTCTAAAATAAGCTTTTAAGGTTACAAATATTCTTGAAAAGATGGCTTTAGATTCATTCCATCAGTTTTGATAAGCCGTATTTTTGTGATAATTCAGTTCAAAATAATTTCTAACATTCAGTGTGATTTCTTCCTTGACCTCTGGGTTGTATGTACATTTTTCTTCATTCCCAGACAATTGAATAGGAGACTGGTGTAGATCAGCCTCTACCAGACACTAGGTGGTAAGATGGGATCTTTTTTCTGCAAAGATTCCTGCTTTCTTGGCGTAAGGATTATACTTTACGTACAGCACATCCCAATCTTCGTGGGGACCCAGTCTGTCCACTCAGCTTTAGAACATCTTCGCGTCGAGGGGGACCAGCAGTGACAGTGGGCCTCCTTGGCTGGGAGCAGAGAAGGATGGCGCAAAAGTCCACCTCCTCAAAGAGAGGGCAGTCAGTTGGAACCTTCCCTGAGGCTTTAGGAGACCTGAGCCTGACAGAATCACTCTTTCTACAGGAGGAGCCATGCCAGCTGATGGTGCATCCACGAGATTAGCACTCAGGAGGCTTGGAGACAGGGCACGTCTCTTGAACTTCCTGGTGACCGGGCTCAGACAGAAGGTATGGCTGCCCCTCTGACACTCAGGCTGTACAGGTCTTCTGACTAGAGAGCCGCTCCTGGGGTGGGCAGCATGCAGGCTCTGGAGCCAGCTGCCAGGTGCAAACCCTACTGTGACCTCAGACATGTCACTTGACCTCTCTATGCCTATTTCCCTCCAAGGAAGGGGTTAGTTTTTATTTTTGTTTTTCACTTTTTTTTTTTATTGATGTCATAATAGTTTATAACATTTTGAAATTTTAGTTGTACGTTATTGTTTGTCAGTCACCATATAAATACGCCCCTTCACCCCTTGTGCCCACCCCCCAACCCCCTTCTCCCTGGTAACCACCAGACTGTTCTCTCTATCTGTGTGTTAGTTTATCTTCTACATATGGGTGAAATCATATGGTGTTTGTCTTTCTCTGGCTTATTTCGCTTAACATAATATCCTCCAGGTCCATCCAGGTTGTTGCAAATGGGACTATTTTGTCTTTTTTTATGGCTGAGTAGACCCTTTTGTGTGTGTGTGTGTGTGTAGATA